TGAAACCCAATCAGCCGGAACGTCCATCACATTCTGATCATCTAGGCAATCAAAAAGGACAGACAAAATCAGACCAAATCACCACTGCTGGAATCATACTCAGCTATCCCATTCAACATCAATTATCCACGTGGTAGAGAGACGTATGAATAGCAAAAGTCTTCATAGCATCTACTCCAGCATAGCTAGGTGCTTCTAATTCTAGTGCTTTTAATTTTAGTCTTCCTTTGTAGGCCACAAGAATGTAAAATGAACACATATACACTAATAATACATCACCCTGCTAGAAAGATAGTACTTCTTACATTTCTTACTGAATAGGCTGTAAATAGCTGAAACATTTTAGCAAATTGGTCAAGCCTTTGATCCGTTGATGTGGCAAACCACACAATACTCAAATTTTTCAGTAAATTACTACCATATTATAAAATTTCATAAAAATCAATCAGTCACATTGCTTGATATTTGAAAGAAGAATAATTTCGAGATCCAAATGGGTAAGAAGTACTCGGCATTCATTGAAACAAGAGCGACACAGTCATTTGAAATCGAAAAGTCAGACCATTCTACTCGATCAAAGGTTCTTCTACCAACAGGGAAAAAATAAACTTCTCCCATGATATTTAAAAGATTGCATGGGAAAGCAAAGTCTGTGGCAAATATTTGCATCATAATTTCAGGCTTAGCAAAGGTTTTGGTGGCTATCGGAAAACAAAATTAAACGAAGTAGACAATCAGTCCTGAAAAGACTTAATCTCTACTTAAAACGAACTTTCTACTTTAGGCAATACTCGATAGAATAACGAGAGACCATATGTGTTAAAACTAAAAGGCGTTGCCTCGCAGGTCGCAGGAGACATTAATGTCAATGATTTGTGGAAGACATGCGATAGAGTGTATCATGATTACCAGATTCGGTGTAACATGTGTAACCTACTCATTAGTGTGTGCGAAGTAATTTACCTACGTAAGTGCTGCGTTGCACAAAGGAGTATTTTAGGAACACTCCATTTCCAACTCGCAGCTACCAACTGCGCTAAGACAGGAAAGTGCAGAACTCTAAAGCGGAGTGAATACGAATATGCGTGATGAGCAGTGAAAGAAGAGGGAAGCTGAAAATAGGATCAGCGAAAGTGGCAATGATTCACAGTCCACTTCGTTCCAACCACACCTATCCTATGCACATTGATGATTAAAACTGCACTGCAGCCTCAATCACTACTTTGGAAGTGGGATAGATAATGGGAAAGAGCAGTGGGTTGTGAGAGCCCGATTGGCCTACTGGATTGCATTCGCTGCTGAAGTATCAGCAGATTCTACAACGAGGTGAAATATGCAGCTGTGATGTCACATCATACAGCAACGTGGAACTGACTTGTCAATTCAACGAGAGCAAAATAACGCTGAGCATTCAAAAAGTGTTTAGCTATTCTTGCAGTGAAGAAAGGCAGAGAAGGAGAAGCGCATGCATCGTTATGAGGAACATGAGCAGTGTTTTAGGGCGCTGATATCACCCAGTGGCAGATGGACACATAATTTGCTGCTTGTGCTCTCACCACGTTTGCCCATGCTTCAAGTTCTACTTCATGAGATTCCCATCACTGGAATAATTAAGAGGCATGATTAATCTCATGTTGCTGACTTGTTCAATTCGATTGTAAAATTCGTGATGCTAAGCTGTGTTTGTATCAGATTTGGGGAATTGCATTAGGTGCAGGACATGATGCGTAAGGAGTTCTGATGACGCACAGATAAAGCAATGATGTTGTTCTGGGTGTAGCGTTGGCATGAACTCCTATGGATCTACAACGAGTGAATATTTTGACGACAGGTAAGGCAATTAGATAGCGAGACTAGCAATGAATGTCTTTGCAATTGCTCCGCCATGGGGCCACAAATACGGAGACATGCAAAGCCATTTCACCGAAATACGACTCTGCATGTTCAGTCAAACAGCATGGAGTAAGACAAAGCTGTCTTCCACGTGATAGGCTACTAATGCTGCACATGAGGGCGTCGTTACTCTCACACCATGTCACGACTTTCTAAATTCCAGTGTGTGGAAGCCGATGAGACATTGCTTTCGCGGCTACACGATGCTGGTGGTTATTAGAGTGGAGGCAAAAATTCAGTCATAGGTGTATTAGAGGAGGAGTTGACACTGCTCAACCGGAGTGTGGTGAACTTTGACATAGATTACGCTGCTATGGGCATGATCTCTCAAGTTATTTTCCCTGCAATCGCTACTTCACCACATGTGTCCATCACGGAGGGTGACAAATGCCTGATTAATGACTTCAAATTGCACCACATCAAATGGAACCACATCAATTCACGACACGTCGCCTTCATGTTATTCTAACCACCACCGC